GATGCATTGAATTACTCTGCATTGAATTACTCCAATGGGTGTGTAGAACAAGTGTCCCTTTGAAAATTCGCGCAAAATTCATCTCGAACCGTCTTAATTCGCAAAAGTCATCTCTGTTGTATCATGCTTCAGTTATCTGAATTTTGGCGCATCATGCGCCAAAATCCAAAAATTTACTTTTTTGGGTCCAAATTTCGCCCTTTTTGCCATTTTTGCTCCAAATGCCTAAAAATGATGTACCTGCTGAAAAAACAGGAAAATACCTTCTTTAAAGTGCAATATCACAAAAAATAAGTATAAAATATGTACTTAAATTAATATATTATTTTGGTGTATCAGACGACATCTATAATTGAAGGACCTTGGGTTCATAAACATATTAAAATAAGATAATGCTAAAAAGGACATTTTGTTATCTAAAATTGTATATAATAACACTACTCGAGTACATCAAAAACATGAAAACTACAACAAAATTTCACAACATCAACACAATAATAGAATTCCAAAATAATTACACTTAAATAACACCTAAAAAATGTCACAATAACACATTAATAACATCTCAATAACACCACAATCCCACTTTAATAACACAAAAATATTACAACTTCAATAACACCGAAATAATACCTCAATTACACCACAATCTAAAGAGAATAACTCCACAATATCACATATATAACAATTTAGTAACACCTAAATAACACAACAATAACAACAGAATAACACCACAATAACACCAGAATCACATCTATATAACACCACAATCCCACCTCAATAAAAACCCAAATATGACACCTCCAATAACACTAAATAACACCACAAAAATACCAAAAAAAATTCCACAAGCCGGCCTAAATAACACCAAAAATACACCACAGTCCCACAAAAATAACACCAAACTCCCACCACAAATAAAACTACAATAACACTAGAATAACACTACAATAACACGAGAATAACCTCTGAATAACACCAAAATAACCATACAATAACTTCATAATAAAACTATAATAACACCTCAATTAAGCGAAAATACTATAACTCTAATAACACAAATAACACCAGGTTACACAGGAATAACATTGCAAGCGTAACAACAGAAACACACCAAAATAACACAACATTTCCTTCTCGGTAAAACATAAAACATAAATAATGTCATAATATAACTGCGATAACACCACAATCTCTTCTCAATAAAATCGAAACATTATTGTGATGTTTTTTTGGTGTTATTTCAATATTATTGTGCTGTTATTTTGTAGTTATTTTGGTATTATCATGACGTTATTGTGGTGTTAGTTGTTTTATTAGTTGTTATTCATGTGTTATTGTTGTGTGTTTTTTAATGTTATTTTGATGTTATGTTGGTGTTTTTTTGTGTTAGTATGGTATTTTTTGTGTTTTTAAGCTGTTATTGTGGTAATGTTGAGTTGTTATTACGGTGTTGTTGTGTTATTTAGTTGTTATTGTGGTAGTATAATGGTGTGAGTATGGTGTTATTTTGGTATTAATTTTTGTGTTATTTTGGTATTATTTTGGTTTTATTGTGGTGTTAGTGTGGTGTTATTTAATTAATACTATTTAGTTATTGTTATGCGATTTTGGTGTTCTTTTGGTATTATTTCGGCATTGTTAATTTTTTTATTTTAGTATTATCTTTGTGTTATTGTAGTGTTAGTGATAATATGGTCTTATTTTTGTTTTATTTTTGCTTTATTTTGGTGCTACAGTAGATCGTTTGAACAATGCATGAAAATATTGTATGATGCAATGTTTTTCTCGATACATTAGACTTTTGAATAAAAGTACAACCACAAAAAAAAAATTACCTTGATGATTTCTGTGATTAGGCTCTTTGTTGTCCTTCTTAGGCTCTTTGGTTTCCTTCTTCGTTCGGTCTTTCGTCTCCATCTTCTAAGGCTCTTCAGTTTCCTTCATCTCTTCCATTGTTGTATATTAGCTTGCTTCAAGATGAAAAAAACTACATGAGTCCGCACCCTAAATCCTAATTCTTCACGCAAAGCTTGTATCGGAAAAACCTTAACATCACAAGACTTACATGACAGCAAAATGGGACTTTGAATATATCTCGGCCGACGAACGACAGTGCGAACCCTATCTACTAGAGTCGCGCAATGGGAAACTCTAACCGACGACGAATAACGAAAATGGAGAGTGAAGAGCAGTGTAGTTGGGTTTTCTTTTCAATGCAATGATCCCTACATTATGATTCTGCCCGTTTTGTTTTCGAGGCAACGGGTGAATTCGGATCGGGTCGTGCCTTAAAAAGAAAACACATTTTCATTTTTTTATCGGTGGGACCAAAATTTACAGGTAGCAATATTTCATTTGCGTCGCAATATTTTTTTCCAAAACAAAAAAGATAATCTAGAATTCAACATGAATAACTTTCAATTTAAAAGAATGCAGAATCAAACCAAAAGCTGGCTTAGTTTAAGCCAAACTATAAATCAAACAAACTCAAACCCACGATAAACCAACACCCGCCAATAAGTAATTATTTAAATTTAAAAGAACAAAGAATCAAACCAAAATAAGCCTCAAGTTAGACAAGCCGTCGATTGCCTTAAAACTATGAATCTTTTTTTTTGTGTGTGTAAATTACCGCTAATAATCATAATCCCGCTCAGGACAGCAAATGAATCATCAACTGCATTATTTTATGAAGTGAACCCAAAAAAAAAAAAAAAAGAGCTTTGTCGTTTATGTATTTTCCTACGATGCCTGGAAATTACAGACGAATTGGTCATCCACTTTCCCTGCAAACACCCCTCTGCTTCCACTGACATCACAAATCACGTGCTCCGTCAAATCATTTATTTTAATGATTAACATGAACACATATCAACCGACCAATTATTGATCCAACGTAATCAAGTAAGCATCAATTAATTAATTATACAATACTTCAGGTGCAGCACACCGCCCTACAACACCGCCCTACGCCCTACGCCCTACGCCCTACAAATATTTATGCCCATTAAACCTTAGATTGATTCGCATTACATTCTTGATGTCAATGGAGGAAGGCTTGCTTGCAAAAGAAGAGAGAGAAGTGACGACCGGTTTGGAGTTTAGAGAAGAGGGAGGGAGGCTTGGTAGGGTGGCAGTGCCAATGGTCATTGTTTCTGTGGCACAATATATGATTAACGTTATATCGACGATGTTGGTGGGGCATCTCGGCGAGCTGCCTCTAGCCGGAGCTTCTATTGCCGCCTCTCTCACCAGTGTTACTGGCTTTACCATTCTGGTAATTGAAAATGTCCATTTCTATCACAGAATTAACATTTCAAACTTTGACACCATAATGATGAAAATACGTATTGCTCAGAAACTCAGTGTCAAAACCTATACTTTGGCTAAGTAATCATCATTTTTTGCATGATCAACAGATTGGAATGGCAAGTGCATTGGAAACTCTATGCGGTCAAGCTTATGGAGCACAGCAATACCAGAAGCTTGTAATACACACATGCAGTGCCATCTTCTCTCTTACATTAGTCAGCCTTCCTATTTCTATCATATGGCTATCAATGGGAAAACTGCTTCTATTCATAGGTCAAGACCCAAAAATCTCAGAAGAAGCAGGGAAGTTTGCGGTGTGGACCATCCCAGCAATCTTTGCCTACGCCGCATCTCAACCTTTAATGAAATTTCTCCAGTCACAAAGCGTCATTCTACCCATGCTTCTTAGCTCCATAGCTACTCTTTGCTTTCACATACCAGTCTCTTGGTATCTTATTTTTAAGTCGGGATTGGGCATTGTTGGGGCTGCTCTTTCCATAAGCATATCATATTGGATGAATACAGTCATGCTTGTACTGTATATATTTCATTCTACTACTTTCAAGAAAATGTCTTTGCCACTCTCAAAGGAGGCTTTCAAAGGAATCAAACAGTTCTTTAGATTTGCTTGTCCAACAGCAATCATGATATGGTATCATCTGTTTAATTACTTTGAAAAGTTCATGCTTTAAAAATTTTCAATTAATCCAGTGTTCGCATGCAACGTCATCTTCCCATGTTTGAATTAACTTTACTTCATGTATCGTTTGTTTCTCATATGTGCTGCAAAAGAATGCCGCAAAATAAGCAATATGTACTTTGCAAAGAAATTATAGTGAATGCATTAATGTACATGCAGTCAACCAACATCCCAATTTCTTACAATTTGCCAAATTATTGCAGTCTTGAATATTGGTCATTTGAAATGTTGATTCTTCTCTCTGGGCTTTTGCCAAAGCCAAAACTTGAAACATCTGTGCTATCCATATGGTAGGCAGAAATTAAAACTTATAAATTTTAGCAATTCTATTTTATTGGCAAAAATGCTCTGATGCTATTCTGTATTTGTGGACAGTCTCACAACCATATCACTACTTTACAACATTCCTTATGGACTTGGAGCTTCAGCTAGGTAATTTTTATGGAAAATCGTTCAATTATATGCGTGACGTGATATCTTCGTTTGTGTTGAACTGATAGAGTCATTTTTTCTATTATTAGCACGAGGATATCAAACGAATTAGGAGCTGCAAATCCAAAAAGAGCTCGTTTAGCTGTACATGTTGTCATGTTTATTATAGTGATGGAAGCCATCATAATGAGTGTGACTTTATTCTCCATGCGTTACATTCTGGGTTATGCTTACAGCAATGAGGAGGAGGTAGCAGATTACGTTAAGGATATGGTTCCATTGGTGTGTCTAACGGTTTTTATGGATAGTCTTCAGGGCGTGCTATCAGGTAATTTTCATGTTTTCTCCTTAATAAATAATATTCATCATCTAAGCTTTTTATTGAGAATTCGATGTATTTGTGAGAAAAACATCACAATATAGATATTCTAGACAATCATTTTATAACTATGGAATATAAATGTAGTTCAATATGATAATTAAAATGTAAGAATGATGGTTTTAAGCATCATAGCACAATAGTTGACACAAAGCTTCTGTAAATTTCAAGTATTTGCTAACATATTTTTGTTCTCAAAACTTTCTTATTCAAAAGTTTATTTTCAAATAAAATACTTATAGAATTGAGTTTCCTGGTAATTATGTGAGGAAGGTGAATGATTATACTGGAAATAAAATCTGACCAAGTTTAATAATATTAAATAATCACAAAAGGATTGAAAATTATGTGTTCGATTGTTTTTATAGAAGCAAGAACAGCGTAACAACTATCGAAACAGAACGAGCATCTTAAAGCTAACCTCAGAATTCAACTTTTTAATTGGCATTTGAATTAAGCATTTGTTTCATTTGTTGGTTTATTGAATTTTTCTTCAAGCAAACGAGTGACATTCAAGCAATGTCTTAAAGAATAAACTTGGAGTTTCATAAATAAAGTACTATGGTTTCACAAGACACTTTGATCCTGGACAAGATTTCTTCATACAAGCTTTAAAAAGGTCATTTCTTCATACAAGTTTTATTGACCGAGTAAATAGAAAATTTCATTAATCATAATATATTAATGTAAACTTGGTGTGATGAAAACCCTTGGGTCAGCCATTTTGAAATCAACCGCTGCAACCTCAAAGCAATATTTGGCATGAATAAATATAAAGTGCTCGATCAAAAAATTATAAAAACTCCACTAAAATAGATTTTATCTATAAGTTATGATCACACTCTAATGTGTCAAAATTCCAATGCATTGTACTCTTTTCTTGCTAGCCTGTCTTTCCAGACAACGCCAGTTCTCATAGGTTCGAAGAAATAAATAATTAAAAATTAAACAAAGATGTTGTACATAAGAACATATAAATATTTGGAGACAGTAAACAAATGAAAGTCAACCATGATAATATATCTCCCCTGATTAACCGTCTTTTTGTGCTTATAACCTTCATATCATAATTTTATTTTTGTACTTGTAGGTGTTGCACGAGGATGCGGATGGCAGAACATTGGTGCGTACGTAAACCTCATTGCATTTTATCTGATTGGAATCCCAACAGCTGTAGTTCTTGGTTTTATATTGCATAATGGAGGGAAGGGGCTTTGGATTGGTCTTCTATGTGGATCTACGGCTCAAACAATCTTGCTTTCTTTTGTAACAATTCTAACGAACTGGGAGAGACAGGCTAGTTCTTCACCTTAAACTCAATGGATATACATCAAAGAAATTTTTTGTCTATATATGTACATTCGAAGTTTATTCTATGTAAGTTGGATCATAAAATAAAATATTTTAACAAATTTTAACTTTGAATTTATTGATTTATCATATAGGTAGAAAGGGCGAGAGAGAGGCTATATAAAGAAACAGTAACATTGGTGAACAACTACAAGTGAATGTGGATTCATACTTGCTCTATCTTGTAAGGCTGAAAGATGAGAGAGATTTCAGATTTTGAAGACTCGAATGCACGATGCTGGCTCAAGCAGTATTTTTGGTTCTGTTTAGCGCGTAAATTTTAGGGATTCTAATAGATTATTAATGTTATACAACGAAAAAATTAATTCAAAAGCACAACACATTTGGAGAAAGTTGGCTAAAAGTTTCATTATGGATAATACTCAAACTAAAAAGAACCAAAGTCTTTTCGGAAACTTGGTACGTTTTTATGTTTCTCCCTATTTATGTGATTGAGCACCTCTGCAAAGTCTTGAGCAATAATATGTCCGGCTGAGTTCCAACATCCTCATGCACATGTATAGATGATTTTCAGCAAAGCTTGGATGCTCCTATTGTTTCGAAAAGTTGTTTTAATTTCGAGATTCGTGTTAAGTTAGCTTAATATTTTGTTACATTTCTTGTACATTGTATAACAGTTTTTATGGCTTGTGTTACTTATAAGACTGGATATTTCTTTTGAGGTTATACATAGATCGCTTGTCCAATTCATAATCTTGAGGTGGGATCAAAGAGGTGTTGGGTCCAAAGTCAAGGGTGGTGAAGATTACGTCTTTATTTTATCATTTGGTTTGATGTAGTTAGACATATATATTTATTTAAAACTCTACAAACCTCCTCCAAACATTTGGAATTCAATTTAAAATTAAAATAAATGATAAAAGTCCTCACTTTTTAAAATATGTTTTCCATCTCAATGAAACCACAAGCATTTAGATTTAAATGGTTCTGAACAAAATCATATTCACAATAAGCATTTTTTTAATTCCATTTAAAAAACCTATGAACACAATCTAAGGAAGCTTACAATCCTATTATGATTTTCCTCAATCTATGGAGAGATTGTTGATGGACAGGATCAGACCCAATGCATAGGCCCAATGAGATCATTTAGTTTATAGAGATGTAGTTGGAGAGAGTCTCTTGAGGATTACAACCAATATGAATATATTTTTGTCCATATTCTTGAAGAGTCCAACTAAGATTGCAACCAGTCTGAATATATTTTGTTCCATATTCTTGAAGCGGTAATGCTTGATGGCTATAAGGTATCAAATATCACTAATTAAAAATATATTTATCTTACATGGATAGATTCCATTTAATATTAAAAGAATGTTGCGGTAATTTTATCAAAAAATTTGTTTGATGTCAAGAAGTTCGAGAACAAAGCGCGTATTTGGTTAGGCATCATAACGTAGAGAATCATTTGGAGGCCAATGAGAATGTGGGTTCACTTGAGTTCACATACCAATTTAAGAAAAGAAAGAAAATAATTGATTTTGCTTAGAAACATCATTTGGGAGATGTCACAAATTATAGAATAGATCAAGACAATATAATTATACATACTACAGATCGAGACGATCCATTAAGAGAGTCTCCAGAAAGAATAATAGATGTTGAAGACAATGTATTGACGGGTGATGCAACAATTCAGGAAGATCCTGAAGAGGTTGAACGATTAGTGAAGAGTGTTCTAGAGTCGCTAACCCATATAGTAAATAACTATTTCTATTCACAACTGTAGTTTCTAATATTCCATTAGTTTTTATGTTATAGAAAAATGATATTGTTTTACAGGCTCTTTGCACATCGTTCCATCTAGATCCCTCTAGCACTTTAACTGTACTGCTGAAGAGCATTCATTAGTTGAAGTTGCACATAGCCTCAGTGGAGAAGATATACATAGTCCAATTACAGAGCTTGCAGTAGAAGATGTACATAGTCCAGATGGAGAGCCAACAGTAGGAGAAGCTTAACATTGCTCTGTTGGAATGACAAGAGATTAACTAATAATTATTGATGATAAAGAAAATCCCAATCAAGAGGAGACAAATGTGCCGAGCCAGAGCTTCAATCCATATGCCTACGCTATAGTGGTACTAATAATTATTTATAGCAGCACCTAATCATATATAGAAAATAAATTGATATGTTACGAGTCCACATTATTCTGTTGTAGTCTCATGTTGCGGCCCCGACACTTCCACTTGATCATCCTGCTAGATCAGTGATTCTACTTGAAATGTAGGATGTAATAGATAGATGTATTGCCAACTACCCTGGGGTGTAAGTAAACATTCTTTGTTAGATTGTAACAAAATATTTCTAGTTCGTCTGATGTTATTGTAACAAACTTTTTTCTGTTAACGATGCAGACATGATATCATCCTAAGCAGGGGTAAAGTCATACTAGAGCGTGGTGCACTTGAGGATATATTAATGAACTGTTGGTTCGGGAATGAACATGTCAATATGTTTGTCATTATGTTGGCTGAAAGAAGGAAATGGTCACTTGCACTGTACAGAAAATACATATATGTGTCCCCACTGTATTGGGTATTTACAAATATTTAATTTAATCGATTATTTTAAAGCTTAACTTCCGTTGTAAATTGAATAGATATCGTTTGTTATTTTTTCTTTTATTACAAATGTTAAAGACAATAAAAGGTGATACTGCAACATTAACTAAGGATATCACAAAGGAAGCAAATAAAGATAATGAACTCATTTTATTTCCTATAATTAATAATCAACATTGGATTTTGTTAGTAGGGGAGTTGAAGGAAAGAAAATGCAAAATATATGACTCGCTACCTAACCCGATGCATAAAGCAGTTGCGTAGAACTTGTAAGTACATTTGACACAATTTACATATTGAATTAAGTATTTTTTATTGTAAACAGTAATACTTGATTGAAACAATAAAACCACTACTATCTTTACAGGTCAAACAATTTGCGAAAGATACTGAACAAACATTCCGGTCCAACATAACAAACTGGGCAATGTCCGCTCCTCGAAACGTTTCTACCCAAAGTAACAGCCACGACTGAGGCATATTTGTATGTAAGTATATGGAAACCTTAGTAGAGGTTGACACAACCGAATGGAAAGATCATTTAAACTGCCAAGGTCTTATGGTACAATTTAGAGCTCAGTTCGCCTATGCAATTTGCATGTGGTCTCGCCAAGCATCTTAAGGGAAGAACTGTGCTTTGTAATTTTATGGAAGGCATGTTTGTTGAACTATGATTTGTATAGAGTAAGCGTTATAATATTGAACTGTGCTTTGTAATTTTATTAAGAGTTTTGTAATTTTCTGATAATATGATTTGTAAGTTTTCAAATGATATGTAAGTTTTCAGCAATATGATCTATAAGTTTTCAAATATTTTTTGACAATATATATTTATATGCTTAATTAAAACTCATAAATGAATTTAAATGCCGATACAACTAAGTTTAAATTTTAAATAACGTAGTGGAATTGAGATATAATGTAGTGGAATTGAGATATAACACATTTGAATTGCAAAATAACGCAGTTAAATGGGGATGTAACGCATTTAAATTGCAGAATAACACAGTGGGAAGGCAAATTAACACATGGGGAAGCCAAAATAATGCTTTGGGAATATTCAGAGCACGTTACACGTACGTGTTGAAAGATAAATGACGCAGTGGGAATGGGAAATAACACAGAGGGATGACAAAATAACGTAGCATGTTGGCGAAATAACACTTAGCAAATTTTTGGAGCACGTTACATGTGATATATACGCATTGAAAAGATAAATAACGCAATGGAAATGGGAAATAACATAGAGAAATGAAAAAAAAAAAGCAGTGTGTTGGCGAAATAACGCTTCAAGAATATTTGGAGTACATTACGTGTGATTTATACGCGTTGAAAAGATAAATAACGCAGTTGAATGGGAAATTACACAGAAGGACTGCAAAATAATGTAGTGTGTTGGCGAAATAATGCTTAGGGAATATTCAGAGCACGTTACGCGTGATTTATACTCGTTTAAAAGATAAATAACGCAACAGGAATGGAAAATAACACAGATGGACTGCAAAATAACGAAGCGTGTTGGCAAAATAACGTGTAGAGGATATTTTGCTCACGTTACACACAATTTATATCTGTCGAACAGATAAATAACACAGTTGGATGTGGGAAAAACACACCAGGAAGGTAAAATAACGTAGCCGCAAATTAAGTAATGCAAGGAGAGTATTCAGACCACATTATGCCAGATTAAATCGCACTGCAAAATTGGTAATAGTGCTATTTTTAATATTTCTTGTGTTACTAATATGTTATTGGACTATTATTTGAATGTATTTGTGTTATTAATGTGTTATAAGACTGCTCTTCACATGTTTTTTCATAATTATTAAAGCTGTAACATCAACAACACCATAACCAACGTATTAAAGCAGTAACATAAACAACAACATAATTATTAAAGTTGTAACACAAATACATTGATTTATAATACATCAAAGCTCAATTATGGAATCAATTGATAGTCCAATGAATGTTTGAGATGATATTTGTGAAGGAAAAAATTCCTGTAATGTTGTAAAGAAAACACGTTTTAGAAAAGTAGATTAAAAAGACCTCTCAAATGAAAACATGTTGGATTTCATTTTTATACCTGGCTTAGATAGTCATGCGTAATTGGATTGGATGGCAAAGCAGGTTCCAAGCTTGTTGATTGTTCAAGATCTTTTCATGTACGCAGAGCTTATGGTTAGAGAAGGGAAATAAAATAAGATTGAAGCAGCTCGTTTCATGTAGAAAAATATACTTTTGGATCTCTTATTTTTCTCCCAATATTCTTTAGGCCAAGAAGTGGAAACAACTTTTGGCCTCCCCTTTGCTAGGTCAGCCACATTACATTTTGTTTGTTGTTTTTTCTAGGTATTGCTTCATCAATATCTATAGATAGCTTTTTAATGTTTCCCATAGCTTCAGCTAGATAAATTCATCTCGTTGTGCTTTATTGATTAGTTGGTAAGCAAACTTCTGAGATTGTGAATGGATAGGAGGCCACTTAAAGAAACAACTATCATTTGGAACTCTCTTAGATGCTTGTATAAAAACCTGTTATAGATGTCTCTTTTAGCATGATTAGACTATTGCAATAACAAATATTTTTCAAGAATGAGATTTATTTTAACCATATTAAGAACATGCAGTGCGTGCCCTCTTCATTTCAAACATTCTGCAACTACAAGTGACATTGGAGTTAACTTTGTCAAAATTCACAACCCATGTCTTGCATGTGCCATCATTATCCAAATTTTTTATATAATATTTCAACCCACTATCTGTGGCGAATTCAAGTGTAAGTCCACATAACCCATTAAGCAGCTCTTGCTTGAACATTGAGTAAAGCTTCCTCGTATAAAATGAGGAAGCTTGCCTGAAAATCGTGTTGACTTTAGCCATCAGCATAGTGATAGATTGACTACATTTGAAATCTTCGTCCTTTTCATTCCCACGCCATGATTTCATTATATTTTCAAGGCCGATAAAACAATCTATCAGAGAGCTTGTGGGCTTCAAAATACCATGGCTTATATTATTTATGGACTTGCTTCTTTGAGTTGATAGGATTCACATTCCAAATACTTCTT